AAAGTTACATCATATTACTCTTCTTTCTATAATCTATCCTGTCTAATCATCAAAACCATAAGTCACAAGTTCATTTTTTTCATTCTTGTGCAAAAAGTCCATAACAGGCTTCCAGTCACCAATAAATATAGTGTCTTTTCTCTAATCAAAGAAGTCAATTTATCCATTTCAGCAAAATATATAAATTTCACCAACCATTCCTCCATAGTGGGTAGTGTTGAATCTTTCCATCTCTGTGCATATAGTAATCTTGCCACAAGAATCATATATTGAAATAATCTTCCCTGGCTTTTTTCTAACTCTTTGTCCATTAATCCTAAAAGGAAAAGTTCCAGTTTCAATTGAATATTAATCTTTAAAATCCTCTGTATCAAAGTATGTATTTGAATCCAATTTTTTAAGCTTTTTTACATGTCCACCAAGCATGATAAAATGTCCCTTCATGCTCTTCACATTTCCAACATACATTTGAAGTGCCTTTAAAAATGCTAGCATTCTTAAAATTAACAGTTCACATTCTGAAAACATAAATCCAAATGCTGATTGAATAAAGTTTTAAACTTAAAAAACAAAACCCCAGGAATGGAATCTACATTGCCATTATAACAAATCCCACATATGTTATAATTTTTTCCTTTCCCTCAACTGCAGCAGTAATCTCTGCCTGTAGAGTTATCATCTCAAGCCATGATTGTGGTATACTGTTTGTGGCTGCTCCAGGATTTACCCTTTGTTAAAATGTGGCCTGTGATGGGGAGAAAGCAAGCTGGCAAACATGCCCTCATTAGCTTAGCTTTGGCCTAGTTTGTCAGGCATAAAGCAAAAGAAAACGTTGATTGGGAAGACCAGACAAAGTTGCAATGCACAGTTAATTTACTCTGGAGTAATACTGCTAAAGCAAGAGTTGGTAACCAATGACTCTAGGAATACATATGGTTCCTGGCTCCCCTTTTTGCAGCCCATGGAAATAATCTCTGAGTATGAGTGCTGATCACTGAAAACAGAAAGCACAATTACCCACCATTTTGAGGGGAAAAAACATGAAAAGCCCCAAAATAAGAACAGCACAGTTAAGAAAATGAAAAATAACCTCTACAATACTGAACCTTGGCTATCTGTGTGATATGCCCCCACCCACTTTGTGACCCTTATCTCTTCCCAATTTATAAAGGCGCCTTTGGTTGCCAAAACATTGTCCATCCCATCTTAAAGGCAGCCAATTCATTTAGATGAATTGGCCTAAATGACTGACAAAAGAATTCTAAAAGAAGCCTAGAACTTCTTCATCTGAATTTTATGCTAATCCTACACATGTTCTCTCAGTCTTGCCTGCTCTGGACATCAAATTCCAATTTCAGTAAGCAACTAGGGGTCCTCACAGCTCTATTCCTAGCCCTAAATCATCATATCTTTTTCTGATTCAGCCTGGATTCACACAGTTCCATTTGTGTACAGATGTAGATATTAGTGTAGTACAGAAACTAGGAGACATGTTAAAGCTGAATGAATATTTTAGGTGCTGTGCAATTGCTATAGATACAGAATATAAAAACTGATTTTTGGAAAAGCATTTTTTATAGGTACAGTACAATATACAGACTTCATCAATGTGAATGAGAGAGATCATTTAAAACAGGAACATAATGAACACCAATAAGAATCTGCCCAACAAAGACGCCTATCAGCTTGTGAGTTGAGTGACTGTATTCCTTTTCCTGTTTTAGAATCAAAAAAACCACAGCTCCCATTATGCCTATATTCACATAATATACTAACCCTAAAACCTAAGCATGGAATGCTCCTTTACAACATTCCAGTTCCCTGCTGTTTTTTAAACAAGGTTTTAAAAATCACAGGATCATTCATTCTAAGATTGGACAAATACCGCCTGTTTCCTGCTCAGATTGTAACAGCATGCCTTAAACCATGGTTATAATTTATTATGCAATTAAATATGTTCAGAACATTCTTTAACCAAGTTATTGGCTTATGCAAACAATGCTGTGATAATTTGTAAATCACTGTTTATAGCTTAGCATATCTTGTAAACCCAGCCACTTGCAATTTATTCAATACAATTAAGCAAACTATGGCTTAGCATGATGCGTGAACCCAGTCTAGGACTGGCAATAATCTTTAAGAAGAAGAAAACAGGCCAGGGGTTAACTAAGAGAGGGGAAAAAAGCATTTCCAGGCAATTCTGGTTGAACTCAGATTGGAATGTAATGCGTGTAAGCAAGAAGTTAAAAAGCAGAGTATCTCCCATGCTGTCTGCTGCAAAACATATTAAAAAGCTTTATTGAATTAAATGATGGTTCCTTGCCCAAAGAGCTGAATACAGTTTTCTGTACGGTACAGGCAGCTGTTAATATTTGAAACACCTGCGTGAAGACACAGCTGTCTATGGGATGGAGAACAGCTTGCTCTTTAATTGGCACCCAACAGCCCTGTAGGGCAATTTAGGAATGGAAATTAAGGAGGTGGCTGGAATTATTCAAACCGAATTGTTGCAAATGGCTGCACGTCACTGTTGTCAAAGGAAATCACAAAATACAAAGACCGGCAAATAGAAGTAGAACAACTATGGCAAAAGAAAGCAAAGATAGTACCAATAGCAATGGGCGCCTTGGGTGCATTCCCAAAACATCTGGAGCACCACTTGAACACCATTGGCATTGACAAAATCACGATCAGCCAATTGCAAAAGGCAGCTTTACTTGGAACAACTTACATCCTGCCATGATACGTTTAACACCATCAAACAATAACATCTGCCTATCCCAAGTCCTTGGGAACGACTCGACAGGTGGGTGAAAATGCCAAATCCAGTGTAAACATCTGGCTGACTGTGTGACCAACAATAAATAAATAAATAATATGCTTTCCCTGAGCCTGCTCTTACCCAACCTTATTACCTCTAAAATCACAGCACCTCTTGGCACTGGAATGACAGGATGGAGGAGGCTCTGATGCTAAAGGGAGTATCCTTGCAGCACCCTACTCTTTCCTTAGGGCTGTCACTTCCACATTTTCCCCGATCTGACCTTGCTTAGCTTGCAAAATTTACATGGCTTCAAGCCGGAGGCTACACAGCTGCAAAGGGTGGAGGAGGGGCCTGACAAGGAAGGACATGCTGAGCCAGATAGGGCGTATGAGGCTGGATCAACTCAGTGGGAAGTTCCCCCCCCCCACAATCAGTCCGGAAAATCTACATTCATGCTCACTAATACTTTCTGTGAGGACTGTTTTATATCTTACATGTGTCTGCATGAGTATGTTTGACATGAATATGAAAAACAAAACGTATGCATGTAACAACATTCCTTGAGGTTCTCCAATATAGTACATGTAGTGGTAACCATGAATATGCTAGTACGTAATAAATGAATATAGAAAAGTGTGGAGAATTCGGCTGAGCAAGCCTGATCGCATTTTCTCCAAAACTGTGACCCTCCCTCCAGGGATCCTGACCCACTGAATAAGACCCCTGGCTTACA